GCTGCGTGGGGGCGCCCGGGGGCCTGGGGGCGCGACACCCCTCCGCTCCGGGGGCCGAAGCTCGCGTGGGGCCGCGGCGACGCGCCTTCCTCCTGCCTGCCCTTCTTTGTGTCTGCGATCCCGTGTCATTTCCGAGCGCGCTTCTGTTTTAATGGGTATAGCGAGAGGTCGTAAGAAGAGCCGGCCGGTCCTGGTGGTCACCCCAAACGCGACTGCATCCTGTTCTCAGGTCCAGGCCAGGCATCCCTCCCAGGCCCAGGATGGCCTTGCCCCGTGATCCTGGGGAGGCCTTTGTGGGGGGATCGGGCTGCATGCGCCCTGTTTGCCGGAGGTGGGAGTGAGGTGGTCGCATTGCAGCAGCCACCAGGCTTGTTAAAAGCCACAGTTCGGTTTCAATGCCTTTCCTTCCCCAGTCCACATATTCTGTGTTCTAGGTGGTTGGTAAGGAATGTGACAATTAGAAAAGGCCTCTTGAGAGTCGATTTCCCAAATGACAGCATTTTCAGTAACTTAGAGAATGCTTTCTGGGAAAGTACTGCATGGTGCGTAGTAAAAGAAGCCAGGTATGAGGAGTCCCTCAGGGACTTTGAGGGGTCCTTAGTGTGAGCTCCAGCCCCAGTGGTTACCAGGACTCTTGGAAGGCCCAGCCCTTGCGGGAGCTGCGCAGGCCCCGCTTGTCCACTAAAATGGCTAAACAGAACCGGTCTCGTTTCAGATGCCAAAGTAATGCCCCTCTCTCCCCCAGATTTGCTTGTTACAAATTGCAAAGTGTGAAACCAGCTGAGTATTTGGGGCACTTCGTCCTCATTTAGTCTTCACTGCAACCCTATGAAGTGCTCCTTAATGGGAAAATACTGGGAAAGGTAATTCTGAAGTAATATGATGACAGTAATACTGTCTTTGTTTGGGCACCTGCTGTGGCCCCATGTCTTACATGAATTCATTCGCATTTAATGGATGGGGAAACAGGCTTGGAAGGGTGAAGGAAGGTGCTCAAGGTCATGCGGTTGGCGGCAGTGATCAGAGAGGTGATGGTTCAGACGCGGGCCTGCTGCTGTACCCCGTCTGCAGGCCGCCCGGGTCCTCGGCCTGTGCACGTGTGGTTGCTGTGCTGTCACTGACGCTGGTTCATGTCTTCTAATAGGTACATGGGTGACCTGCCATGTTTTATTCCAGACACACCTTCACGACCCTCAGTGGTCATTTCCGAAGGCTCATCTTGATACTGGATACAATCGAGTCGAAGCCTTCAGCACAGGTTTTGATCGATGGCCCTTTCTAGCTAACGTAGCTTTCGAGAAAGCCAGGGGGCTTCCCGGGCCAGGTTGTTGGCGTGTCTGGCTGTCCTTGCAGCATCCTCCAGCTCTGTGAGCAGCACGGCCGGCCGGCCTGTCCCCGCAGGAACACGCTCGGTCGCGGATCTTGGTCTTTTCTTTGTTCTCATAAAACACGTGTCTGTTGAGGTGGGATGTTTTCCTTTTCAGCTGGCAAATCGTACACTTAATTCAGGAGTCGAATGCCCTTGTCTTTGCCTTTAGCACTGTTCAGACCATGCACACGGTGTTGACCCCGCCATCAGATGCATCCGACAGGCTCCCCATCCCTCACACCTTCCTTTCTGACTCTGCACCAGGTCCAGCTCCTCCCCCTCCCCCACTACTTGTCCCCCCAGCTCTAGGTAGCTTGTCGTGGAAACCTTAACATCGAGAGCGAAACTTTGATCCTTCCCTGTGTAAAATGTTCCTGCTAACCCACAAATAAGCCTGCCTGTGTGCATCTCTGGGCTGCCACTTAGGCCGTCAGGACGCCTCTCCTCCATGGCCCAGATCTCCCCTGTCCTTGGCCACGCAGATGGCAGGCACCCTTTATAAAACACTTTCCTCGATCCCCCCAGCCCCAGACTTCCTGTCCTCAGGGCGCCCACAGCACGTGGCTCAGCCGGTCATGGCGTTTTTCTTAACTACCCTGGTCTCACAGCCTCTGCTGGCGTCTTACTTGTACCTGCTGGAGTGAGCCCTGCCTGTCTGGGGTCCGCAGGCCTCTGCCACACCGGGCCCCACGTAGTCCCTTCACAGACGACGCCCTTCCCCTCTCCCTCCTGCCTGAGTCCGTGTCGCCTGTGGCCCCCGCATGGAGAGAAGGTCCTGCTCATTTGCCCTGGCTTACTGCTTTTTCCCTGACCCTTCGCTGGGTCATCAGACCACCCCGTACAACTCAGCTCGTGGGGCGGTGCGGCACATACCGTTCGCCGCTGTCTCATTGGTGTTGGTCTTGTCTTCCCAGCAGGATACATGGTGAACTGCTCAGGGTGGGCACTTGGACCTACTAAATGAGTGGCTTGCAAACGTTTTTTGAGCTGATACCCTCCCCACCCCCCACACCCATTAGATAATTTGAGACTCAGCACACAAATAAGACCCGGTTTAGAACTGAAACAAACTGACTTATGTGCACCCTTATATGTTTTACTGTTTGGTTTTGTTTTTTTTTTAAATGCTGGCACTGATTTGCCACCAGAACTTTGAAGAACCCCGTTCTAAATTCCCTTGTGGATTATACAGGGCGTTGGAATCTGTCGTAGTCGCTCACACGGGTGATTTATACTGATGAGCCCAACAATGAATGGCATTGTCACTTGGGTTAAACCCGGAGGCTTCCAGACTTGATGCCATGAGAGTTCCAAGAAGAGAGGGCACTTCGGACGGAGGCTGGGAATGTCCTGACACTTGCCCGGCACACGCACAGGGCTCGCACTTTAGCGGGTAGCCATCACCATCTGTCACCTCATCTCGTCACGGGGGTCCTCACAGTCGCTACCTTTTTACGGGTGAGGAGACAGGCTGAGACAGGAGCACGATGATTTACCCAAGGCCAGAGCCGGGACCGAGAACTAAGTCTCGTCGCTTCGAGAGCCCCAGCCCTCGCCACGTCACAGGCCGACCCCAGTGATGGCTGAGAAGGCACAGATGGAAGTTGTTTTTCCGGCGACTTTTTATCCACGGCTGCCCCCCCACCCCCACTCTCCCACCCCCAAGGACCCTTAGAGTGAATAGCCCTCTTTCTTGTTCATGAGGTCGCTTTGTCTGGTTTTGGAAAACGAGCTCACTGTTGACGCCTCCAGGCAGCTGTGGGAGAACTAGGTTCGGATCGGGACCTGTGACAACTCTCGGTGCCATTCATGTCCGGATGCCGCTTGGCATCCGGAAAGGGCTCCCTCTGGGGTCTCGGGTGTGGGCAGGGTGCGCCAGGCCTCCTCCGCCCTTTTTTCTTTTTAATCGTGCGGTGCTCCGTGTGATTGACACGTAGGTATTTGCCCTGCATCTGTGCTGAATTCAGCATCACAGCTTTTCGTCATAGTGGAGAAGCTTTATTTAGACCGAACGTGAATGATTAAATTACTTCTGGATCGTGGCTGCGAGTGGCTTTCGTGAGTTCCGGAGTGGCAGGCTGCTGAGAAGCGCAGAGCCAGACTGCTTGGCGTCTGATCCCAGCTCCCCCCTGGGTGTCGTGGACATCTCTGGGCCTCCACCTTCCGGCCTGTGGCGTGGGGACGAAGCCTCCCTCGGGACTAGTGCGCAGGGGAAAGTGCGCAAACTGGATGTGTATGAAGCCCCGGAGACGCGCTGGCTCGTGAACCGCGGCCACTGCGGCCAGTGCCTGGTGGCCGCGAGCTCTGGGCCCTGACTGCAGAGATGGCAGAGGCCTGGTTTTTCTGGTCATGAGTAGAGACCTTTAGTTCCTTTGACTGCGCCTGTTCACGTCTGCGGTGTTCGCAGACCTTGCTGGGCTCCCTGGGCGTTGTTTGGCGCTAGAGCATTTTCTGCGTCTTACGGTTGTGTCAGGTCTGAGGGGAAGACGGGTGATGGCCCCAGCAGCCAGGGCTGTGCTCGCGGCCGCACAGGCCTCTCCCCGTTCCCCTGCCCCTCTGGGACTTGCGGGTCCCTCTTGGCAGATGTGGAAATGAGGCCCAGGGGTTCTAAGGGCTTTGCTGGAGGGCACAGCCAGTTCTTGGCGGCTCTGAATTTGCTCCCCGACCTGTCTGGCTCCAGAAGGCCGCACTTAACCCGCGTGCGACTCGGCCTTTTTCCCCTGGAACCCCGCACCTGTCTGTCTGTTTTCGCAGAGGAGGTTGGGCTCCAAGAGGCAGAGCGCAGGGTCTTGCAGGTCCAGCCCCTCGCCGCCGTGTGCTGGAGGGCAGGTCACTTCACTTGGAACCTCTGTTACCGTACACATCTTGAAAATGGATGACACTCGCCATAGAGCTCGTTGTGGACATAAAGTGAGAATGTGTGTAAAACACACAAAAGTACATGGAAATGGGCCTCCAGATTCTGGAACATCTAACTTTGGGCTGATGTCTTTGGCCTTGGCATGTAGTTCGCTGGACCAGGGTCAGCAGCTGAGTAGCAGCGCATGGGCTTTCGTTACTGATTCTCGTTAACATGCAACATGCCTCGGACTCTTTCTCAACACACAGCTTTTGGTAGGTTTCCTATAAAAATGCAGGGTTTTGACATCCAGGCTCTGGGTCGGAAGCTTCCTGGTGGCTGGTGCTGTGTTATAGTGGGCTACCTAGCACATGTGTGGGTGCTCGGATGTTTGAGTCGATGGGAAAGGGAGTCTGTTTTCTCAGTTTGGGGTAAGTGGGGATCATTTCAGTATTTTAACGGACCCACTTTAAGTCAGGGCCAGCAGCGTTAAGATACTTAATCAGCCTGTGTGTTTTGAGGAGTTCGTTATTCCTTTCCACTTATAGAAGCCTCTGTAGGCCTTGCTGGCTGAGAATAATTGCTTGCCAAATCATTTTACCAGTAACACCCTCTTGGCAGCTACTGTCAGTAAAATTCATTTAGCAATTATTCCACTCGTGATAGGCTTTTGTTGTTATCTGGAATGATTCCTTAAATCTTAGTTTAACGACTGACTTGTCCTGTCTTCCCAGCTGGATCGTTTTCTCTTCAGGGAAGGTCCCGAGAACCTTGTCTACATTGGTAACAAGAATATGTTTTATTTTTGCCTTTTTAATTTGCAAAGAGCTACGGGTACACACGCTCTCACACACACACAATTTCAGAAGCCGGACTCTGGTGCCAGGTTGCTTGACTCTGCTGGACTCTTCCGGTTGGGTGTTTGGAATGTGGGTCAGCAGGTGTGACTGAGCTTTTCACGGTTCCGGTCCACGGGACAAATTAGTGACCCGGGAGTACAAAGGCTGTTCTCACATTTCCAGGCAATGGCACAGTTGTTTATGTAACAGCTCGCAGTGACGGCTCATGCAAAGATGTTAAGGATTTCTTTTTTGATGTTTCTTTAAGAAAACATAATAGCTTTAACCATCTTTATGCAAAAGATTTTTAACCTGTTCCTTATTTCAGAATAGATTTAAAAGGCTAACAAAAATACATAAAATGCCATGGCATAAAAGGGAGTGGATTCGAAGTTTAGGATGGGCCCACGTGGGTATGCTAGAACTGGCTGCTGCTCTGGCTCCCAGCTTCCCAGGGGCCACGATAATGACCCATTGTAATTACAGTGTTCAGAAAATGCTCCCGTAACCCAGGACAAGCAGAGGAGACCTGACACGACGTTCGTGGGCCCTCGTCAGGGGCAGCTGGGAGGATGAGGTCCTTAGGGACTTCCCCGCCACACGGGGAGTGCACGGTCTTCGTGTCGTGAAGCGATGGCCCGGGCTGCAGAGCTGTAGGAGCCCTTGCCTCGGTAGTGTTTCCTTCTGAATAACAAGAAATGTTTTCAGTGCATCACTCTCAAAGTCAACTTAAAGGACTTCATAACAAAAAACGCTCTTGCTCTCAGAAGGGCTTCGTAATATCGGAGCTGGCCAGGCCCTGGGGGTCACACCTGGTTTCTTTGTCCTAGGAATATGAAGACAAGGCTGGACGACCTAGCAAGCCGCCCTCTCCAAAGCAGAATGTGAGGAAGAACCTTGATTTCGAGCCACTTTCCACCACCGCACTCATCCTGGAAGACAGACCAGCGTGAGTCTTAAGAGCCTGTAGAGAGTGTTTGCTTTGGCAGATCAGTAGAACTTGCTAATTGCCTTTTCATTAGAAGAGTAACTAGGATCACAAGAGGGACGAAGAGCAAGCCTTGTCACTCGTTAAAAAGCTGAGTTCCTCCTTATGCCCTACGTTAATAACATGAGTTCTGGAACAGTAGCGAATGACTAATCTGGGAGATTGTCCTTTAACATAGGAGTTTGGCTCAGGATTTTCCATTCAGGTGATTTTTCATTTTAATGTAGCTTTTTTTTTTACACCTACAGCACCTGGTCTTCCTAGGTGGTCTCCCATCCAAGTACTGGCCAGGCCCGACCCTGCTTAGCTTCTGAGATCAGACGGGATCGGGCACGTTCAGGGTGGCGTGGCCGTACACTTAATTTAGTATTTAACAATGCTTAGACAGCTATTGTAATTAGAGACCGGCTTGTAACCGTGAGAAAACACTGGGAAGCGTGCTCTGCAGTGGCTGTGGGGTAGCACCCCAGGATTGCAGAGCAAGGCCTGCGCTTAGCCCCTGGCTTGTGTGGGATCTGCAGGAAGCAGGATCTTAGCAGGTCCGTCCTGGTTCCCACGTACTTGATGAGATCGGCCTTGACGGAGGGTGTACCAATTGTGTTTGAGGACCGTAGTGGGAGAAGGGGCTTGCTCCGTGGTGCCAGGCCACACTTGCTTAAGTTTCCATAGAGCATTGTGTTAGTAAATAACATTTGAAGTGTTCGTTTTGTTTCTCCAGTAATTTTATTTGATATTTATAATGGTGAAAAGTCATTTATTTTCTATCAAGAAATCTCCCGGCGAAGCCAGCTGAAGAAGCTCAGAAGCACCGACAGCAGTATGAAGAGATGGTGGTCCAGGCCAAAAAACGAGGTAACGAGTTCCCACGTGCACCGTCACGTAAGGCAGCACGAGAGTCTGTGTCTTCCTGGGCGTGTTTACCGTCTAGAGCCCGAGAACCTGAACTTTGAGGAATGCTTTAATATTTTGAAATTGATAGGTTTCCATCAAACACGTGTTTGTACTGAGTCTGCACTTCCGGGAGCTGTGTGTAAGTAACGACTCTGTGAATCGACGCCGGGCAAGATGGCAGTGGTGCAGGGCGACGGCGCTGGCCGGGAGGAGGCCTCGCCGGCAGGGTGGGCGGGCCCCCGGGTGGGCTCCATTTTGCTTGTTCCCAGGAAGCTGTGATGGGATTTGGTAAAATCCCTTGCAGAAGCTAAACCGCTGTGATTCTAGCATGTGTAAAAAGTATGTGTGATAAACATGGAACGTGCTACCACATGGATGGGCGGGTGACCCCTGAGGATGTTGTGGTCAGTGAAGTGAGCCGGTCACAGAAGGACAAGTACCACATGGCTCCACTTACGTGGGAGTCGCAGAGGAGTCAGATTCACAGAGACCAGGGGCGGGGGGAGGGGGCACGGGGCTCGTCACTCATCGGGGACAGAGTTCCAGTTCATAAAGATGAGAAAGTCTGGAGATGGATGGTGGTGATGGCTGCGCGACAACGTGAAAGCTTGATGCCGCCGATGGTGCGCTGAAAGTGGTTAAAACGGTTAATTTTATGTTATGTGTATTTCATAATAAAACAATACAGAAAAGCGTATGTCCCTTGAATGCATGGTATTTCTCAGAATCGCTGTCTGCACGGAGCGCGATGCTTACGCTGTGAGCAGTGAGGGCAGGGGGTGCACGCGGGGCTCCATGCGGGGCTCCATGCGGGGCTCCGGTGCTCTGTCTGGTAAATCTCTGTTTCTCGATGGAGGCGGTAGTTTCGCAGGTTCGTCGGTTTTTGTGATAATTGGTTATGTTTTATTCTATACCTTTCCGTGTGCGTGTTATTCTCTAAAAGCTTATGAGAAGTGGGTGACGCCCCAGCACTGTAGACTCCACACGGCATGGACGGGTCCGGGAGGGGGGCCCCCCGCCCCCGCACGGCCGTTCTCCTGGGTTTCTGCAGCATGGCTCTGTGAGAAAAATCTCCTTGTTTGAAAATGGTGGAAATTAGTTAACAGATGTTTTCTTCTTCTTCTCGATTGTGATTTCTAGAGCTGAAAGAAGCCCAGAGGAGGAAAAAGCAGCTGGAAGAAAGGTGCAGATTAGAAGAAAACATCGGAAATGCTGTCCTCACCTGGAATAACGAGATTCTGCCTAATTGGGAAACAATGTAAGCTGTGACATAGTGGCCACCTCTAGACTGTAAATGGCTTTTTCTAGGGTCTATAGGCAGCAGTGGTCATAACCATAGCTCATATCACAGCCCTCGATGAAGCGGCCTCAGAGGTTTAAGTCACAGTCTCCCTCCCGCTGCCCTGGTTCAGGCCTCATTCTTTACCGGCTCCTGTGACAGCTCCCGCCTCCCTCCCCTCCCCCTCCAGTGTATCATCTCAGCAGCCGGAGCCATCTTCTGAAGCCCCAGTCTGTGTCACTGCCCTACTTAAAGTTTCAGTAACTTTCTGTGACCGTAAAATGTGACTTCCTTTCTCTGTAGCCCCAACTTCTGTCTCTCCGTCGCGCGGACAGAGCCCTCTCTGTGGGGAGCCTCGGGGCCTTTGCTGGTCCCAGTCCCGCCTGGCGTGCCAACGCCCCGTAACTCCGCATCCGGCCCCCTCTGCCCTTTAAGGCTCGGGCGTCCTTGGGGAAGACGCCCTGGCCTCTCTGCTTCTGTCCTCTGTCGGAGGGTGGGCCCTGGGTCTTCCTTGGTGCCAGGCCCCTGTGGCCAGCACTAGCAGTCCGGCAGCTGTGGTCATCCGTACACCCGGGGGACAACTGTAGGTCTTCATCCTGTGCGTTGGGGATGGGTCGGGCAGTGTGGACGGCAGTCCCAGGGTTAGCACAGAGGCGGGCGGCTCCTTTGGGGCCTGTCCCCGTCAGCAGGAGCTGCCGAGGAGCTTGGATGCCGGTTTCCCTTCTGCCCTGGTCCCATTTAACCTGAGCCGAGTGACGAGACGTTGGGGACGCACATCCTGTCATTACCGGGGGTCAGGTGGCCCTGTTGATCCCATCAGGTTTCTTATGAAAAGAGGTTCAATTTTTGACAGGTTCGGGCCCACGTTTCTGGGCGGTGTCTTTCTCAGGCTGGACACAGGGAACGCTCTTTCCCAGTGGGCCCCGCTAACACAAGTCAAGGTCCTCAGAACCGTTGGGCCGCCTCCCTGGGTGGCTGCAGAACCCCACCCTGGTCCAGCCCCACTGGTGCTCGATGTGGCCCAGATGCACGCACTGGCCCAGCAGCTGCTCGTGATGCACCAGCTGAGTGGCAGGCACGTGCGGGGGTGTCTGTGTCACCCCTCACGGTCCTCAGGACAGCCCTTCGGGGCGGGGTGGGGGCTTCCATCATCTCGATGGTAGAGGGGAGGGTGCCAGATCAGAGGGAAGTGATTCACGTGGGATGCACTGGGAAGCGTGGACTCGGGTGTGACCTGGTCTGCAGTCTCGGCCTATGCTCCCGCACTGCGCTGCGTGGAGAACCCCGGGGAGCGTTTGGCACCTCGTCCCACCGGCTGGCGGTGTGTCCCCGTGAGCAGCAGACCTCAGCCCCTTGCGCCGCTCGGCGTGTGCTGAGTCAGCAGAGTCCTGCCGTGGGGGTGGGGCAGCGGGCCTGAGTGCACCGCCTGCGCGTGCGGCGTGGTGCGCCGGCTGCCAGCTGCTCCTGGGGTCCACCCTCCGCGCAGCTCTGCAGCAGTGCCTCCTGGCCCCCCGTGGCGCGCCCGGCTGGCGCAGTCCCCACAGCAGCACGGTTACGTCCCGTCACTGCGCCTTCTGCTCAGAAGCTGCCTCCCACCCGCCGTGCGCTCGTGTCGCTGCTGGTCGCTGAGGCTCCGGCGGCAGACCCGCGTCCCGGGCCCCTCTGCTTTGCGGTGCCCCCGCTCGCACAGTGTCTAGCTGCCCGGTAGTTGTAGGTAGCCGTCGAGCTGGTCTCTGAGCTCCCAGGGCGGGGGCCACGACATGCAGCCGCGCCCCGCTCCTGCGGTTTGCAGCCCAGCTCGGCGACAGTGGCTACTTCACTGAGAGCAGGTTCATGAACTCGCGTTTCCTTTTCCGTGCAGGTGGTGCTCTCGAAAAGTTCGAGATTTGTGGTGGCAGGGGATCCCTCCCAGCGTGAGAGGCAAAGTCTGGAGCTTAGCCATCGGCAACGAGTTAAACATCACCCACGGTGAGCTGCTCGCGCGACCCTGGGCCCAGGGGACTCAGCCCCCGGCCTGTGGCTTCTCCTGCTCCGCCCTCCCTGGCTGGGAGAAAGGCAGCCATCAGCACAAAGATGTGTGTCTCCTGAGAGGCCAGGTGACCCTCCTCCAGGGGGCCTCAGTCCCCGGTAGTTCAGGTAGTTCAGAGAAGACGCCCGCCTTCTTCCTTCCACCTGAAGAGACACACAGCTCATACGGGGCTGACATCGTCATCATGGCACCCACGGGCGGAGTCACGTCCGGATCCGTTCTCAAAGCCTGGGGAAAGCAGGCCTTGATGGGGCGTGAAGGTGGAGGGGAGGTGGGCGTGCTTTCTGTGGAGGTGTACCATGCTCGGGGTGCTGTGGTTTTTTGCAGCATTTTTTCCCAGGGAGCTTGTACATAGGCACCTCAGTGGGGCGACACACTGCACTCGGACTGGGTGCTCAAGGTTCTAGTAGCTTCAGTTCAGGAGGGGAGATGAGGGCTGTGCTCACCCTTCTCGGGGCGTTTGCCTCGCCGTCGGCGTCCGCTCCTCCTCCACCTGCGCCCGGGAGAAGCCGCCCCACGCGCTCAGACTTGCAGTTCAGTGCTTAATATGTGGCAGTCATTACCTGTTACTTTTTGGTCCCTGTCTGCAGCTTGCACCTGGCACTCCGTCATCTTCAGGTTTTTAATAGCCGGTAAACGCTTGCGGAGCTGATGGTGGCAATTTTTACCCTGTCGAAGGCCTTTGACTTTAAAGCAGGTCGATCGGTATCTTCTCCGTGTAGCTGGGTTCACATTCCTATTACTGTTGTCATCTGGTAGGACTTCCGTCTGCCCCACGACTGCAGCCTCGGCCCGTCAGTGTTCTTGTCTGGAGTAATGCCAGCCGGTCGGGTGGATGGCGGCCGGTTTCTCTGTGTAGTGACCTCCTCAAGGCTCCGTTTTTGGCTAATCCGAACCTGCCAAAAATTGAAGCTCTTTTCGTAAGAAGATTTATAACATCAACCTTGTAGAGATACGTAGTTTCTAAAAAGTGTCTCCAGAAGGAGAGGTTCGGAGAGACTGCTGAGCGCTTCTCTCTGGACGCCGGCACTTGGACCGTTTCACCCTGAGGCCATCAGCGTCTGCGCTGTAACTTGGATAGTCCTTTGGGAAGTGGTCCCCGGTGGTCGGTGGGCAGCGGAGTGCACAGTTGTTTTCCTCCGTCTCCTACCAAAACGATCAAAGTGAAGCCCGCCTCCAGGCGACCGAGTGCGGGCAGAGGGTCCCCTGAACTGCCCTGGCGGAGGAGCGGACTGTAAGCCAGGACCCCCACGGGGCCGGGAAACGGCCGTTGCTCAGGCCTCTACCTCTTGGGGCGCAGTCGTGTTATTAGACTCGGACCGCGTGTTAGTGGGGAACAGGCAGTGCCTGGCGAGCCCGGGTGCTCTGCTTTATCTCCCGAAAGTAGTGATGGCAAAAATAACGTGGCGAAAACTCTCTGGGCAGCTGCGGGTCAAGTCTTAGTGATGGAGCGGTGACCGTTCGTGACCCAGGACTGCGTGTGGCGGGGGGCCCGGGGGT